TGGGCTACATCGGTTTGTGTTCGAACAGACTATTGTTCGACCTAATAAACTTCTGCTGCTTTGCACCCATGTACTGTAGGCGCTAATGCCGTGGGACCGAGGCGGGTTTACGGTACTTTAGAATGATAGAATCTATGGAATATGCAAATTACGCTGTGTTAATCTGGAAAAATGATAGAACACAGTTTTGTTCAGTCTGCATTGTTCACAGAGTACCGTACATTTTGAAGGTTATTTCTATGCTAGGAAAATTGCAATAAAAAACGACATGCTCATATGCAGTACATCAGATAAAGTAGTACATCTTAGATGCAGTACATCAGAATAAATTCTTATTTTACTGCTAAGCCCACAGCTTAAATGCGTATGAACTTAATTATTTAAATTGAGTAATAGTGAAATCAATTGGCCATTGAATTATAAGTGCAAAAAAACTGTTTCAGAACTAATAACAGCGGTGGACGCGAGGCTTCAACGATTGAAAATAGCCACTCTGAAGCCTAACAGTTTATTGGATTATGCGACCCCCATAAAAACGTTCCAAAGGCACAATCGAGACGCGGACATTCGTTGGATCATGAAAGCTGCCGTTGGACCAAGTTCTAAATATGCTCGTTCGGTATCACCTCTAAAAATGAGGTCGAATGCTTCGCATAATGGCGGCAAGAGATCTGAGGAATCCGCAAGATGGCACGGGCATACTGTGGATCACAATCATGAACGCTTTCACCCCACTACAGAAGGGAACTTCGACTCCAAATCCACAAGTGCACGATCGAGCCCCCCTTGGCATGAAGACGCCGGTGGCGTTGCCGCGACCAGGAGCGGAAAGCACCATTACGTCGCAACCTGTTCAGCACCGGTTAGTAAATTTTGTTGATTAGCATGAATTCTTCCATTCAACTTGACCTCACTGTGCCTTTTGTTTTTTGAGATCATCACCTTGTGCCGTTTGCGTAAGCACAACGTCTTTGGTTTGTGACGCTGACTTTACCCACAGCTTTTCAGTACTTTTGCTACGAGGCACCTGTTGTTGCATTTCAGAACGAAATGCTGCTTTCTGAAAGCAGATCTGCTTCTGCTTTTTTCCTCCATATTGCATGCAGGCTTCCAGGTTGACGTCTGGCGGGTTTCGACTCTCAGAGAGAAGCTCGCGCTTTGAAATATATGGTGCATTTTTAACAAATTTGTCTAACACCAATTTTGTCAACCTTCTCCTAATATATGCATCTACCATAAGCGTCTACGCCCGGGAGAGGAAAGAGTCATTTTATATGCGGTCCTGCATTTAACCCTCATTATGGGTCGAAGCCAACGCTGTTGTACGCAGTTCAACCGTCGTTCTTGCTTTTTCGTTAGAGCCACTGTGTGTCTACTGTACAACTACACTGACCTGAACTGACTGACCTGACAGAGGTCAGGTACAGGCGAAGTTTCGAGGGCAGAGTAGTTCCTTTCTCACTCCAAACTTTGGACAGGATTCCAAAAGCACTCAAGGCGAGGATGACCTTCCGATTTAGTTCTAGCTGGCTAGTGCCATCGCTGCAGACCATGGAGCCGAGATATCTAAACTGGTCAATCTCCTGAATCGCTTAATCTCCTTGTTACTCATACAGATCTGCTCTGCAAGTGGTTTCACCATGACTTTAGATTTCCGAGTGTTAAGGAAGAGGCCGGCTTTTAGAGGATTGCTATTCTTTCGCTGACATGACAGACTTCCATTCAGTTATTCTACCAGCCAGGTGGGGATCTACCAGAATACCAACGCCGACAGGAGCGCGCTTCGTGATGTAGACACCTGAGTAGCATAACTTCCACCCACAGAGGTTCAAGATTCCAGAACCTTGGCGCTTCGCTGACGAGTGTCCAACTATGTCGAGTTGGTACCTCATCAAACTAACTCCTGCTCTTTCCTTCTGAGTGAGAATATATTCCAATTTCCAACTGTAAATTTCCACTGGCAGTTTCGTCCCCATAAAGCCTTTTCTGACGGGCTATAATGGCATCACGCTGTCTGCTTCCTCCGTTCAGAACGGGTAGGGACTCTGTTGCTGATTGCTGTCTTTGTCGTGGTTTGGTAGATCTTCGGCAGCGGTTGTCGTACTCCTACACCTCCTGCTGTTAGAAGATGGAGGGCATATTCGAATCGCTGTTTTCCACAGTCTAACTCGGTCCCCTAGAGCCTACGCCGCTATTGGTTACCCGGAGACGATCGAACCGTTGAACGTTCCATGACGTCAATACCATGATAGTAGGTGGCTATGGTGTGAGGAAACTCGCCACCGTCTAACCCTCCTTCTATCTCAGGGGATTAGAAACGGACAGGTGGTTATGCTGATTACTAGTACTTCTGGTGATTCTGGGCCTGTAGTTACATTGATAAATGCTTGAATGGTTCATGGTTCAGTTCATCAAATACGACAGGTATTAGAACTAGTGTTCGCCAACTCATTTCGCTATTTACACTGTAATATTATCAAGGCTAAGTACAAATGCTTTGCTTATTATTCTTAGTACAAAGTAAATTATTCCCATTTTCCAGAAGATTTGACTAAAGCTTAATTAGCTACTTTAACTTACCCTCTTCAATGGAGAGCGCTGAGATGTACCTATGCTGTATCGCACTTGCAAGTGAGACCTGAGTAACTCATTATAAAGTGTATCATTCAATTAGTAAATTTGGAGCCATATCCTTCAAATAGATAGCAAAAATGGAGTGGATGTTGGACATCACAGATCAGTGATGAAATTCCGCAAGAAACCTCCAGAGGAGTAATCCTCCAAACCTGTGGGAATCAGTCCACGCCGGAGTAGACTCAAATTAACTCATAATTCACTCCATGCCATAATAGACTAGTCCATACCGGTATTGGCTAAAACCGATTTACGGCTCTGTTCACGCCGA